GCAAACATACATTGGAATTTTCTATCATGCGCTCTTGCATCGCAACATTTTGACACTTCGTCAAGTGTTGGTCCAACGTCTAATTTTGTCTGAGGTAGGAGAAACTTTGCATAGCCACTCTCTTAAGTTTGATGCATTTTATACTTTATAAAATCCACTTTTTCGTATTTTTTTCTTCTCCTATCGGTGCTGTCCAATCACTTATTGTGCGAATATTAACCTTATATTGTATGGAAATTGGCTGGATATGTGGTCGGAAGGGTCAAAAGTGGCAAGAAAACTATAGTCGTCCATCATCAGTGATTAAAATAGAAGCCACCTATAATAGTCATGGGTCTAAAAGTGCATTTTTTTAATCTATGAACAAGCCTCAAACATCTCTCTGATTATTTATCATGTTATGTATGTATTTTTAGGTACTCGGTAATCTGGTCGAGAACTCTTTGCCGTATTTAACATATAGTTTTAGGAAATACAGAGCAGTTAGGTAAGCCGTTGCCTTTTTTCTCCAACAACTCCCTTGCCTTATTTTTGCGGGTTTTTGTGGCAACTAAATGTATAAAACCTTATTCTTCAAAGAAACAAGAGAAAATCAGGAGGACTATCCGAAGGAAAAATTCAATACTTCTCCAGGGTAGAGAAGGAGTTCCTCAAGCCGGCTTATACTGCAAGCATTGGAGAAGAGCTTGAAGATGGGCTATTTGATGGTATGTCTGTCAGTTTTATACAATCCACCAAAAAGAGTCTTGTTTTGACTAAAAAGCTTATTTTTATTAAATTTGATGTATTTTTTCAAAACATCAAAGATTGAAGTAAGTATGTTACAATTACTTTAAAACAAATAAACTTGAAAATGAAATTAGGATAGATAATTTACAAAAGTTGGTGTACCATACTTAGAATAAAAAGACGCACTGTGATAGAAAGACTTTACTGGGACAGATGTACAACTTTCAAAGTTGGAGAACCCTTTTCAAAGACTTTAATTTTTAAATATAATTTTGTAGTGCAGCTTTAGCAATTATATTGTTGTAATTATCTGACTTTTTTTCAACATAATGTTACTAGATTTATTGGAATTAGCACTGCAATTCGGCATGATCATGATGTTTGCTTGTGCATTCCCTCTCGGTTTTGCGTTTGCTACATTGGTATGCACTCTCTATCTTCGTCATACTCTCTCCCCTCTCTGTCTCACTTTAGTATGCCACATTTGACTTTGTGCTCAAATATTTTTAACTTAGAGCAATAATTTTATTTATGAAAAATGATTTCAAATGATTTTTAAGTAAATAAATTTTTCTTTAGAATTCTCATGAAATACACGAGTTCTGATTTTTCTAAGCATAGCTCTAAAGTGGCCAATTGCAGAGAACACTGGGCTCCTTTGACTGCTTACATTTTTATATTCCCCGGACTGATTTCGCCTAGTTTTACTGTGAGATGTAAGAGTTTCAAGGATGCAATTTGTTTCATGCAGAACAACATAACTGAAATTAGAACGGATGCACTTAAGCTCTTAGCCATATTTAGAAGGCCGATACCTCGGCCAAATGCCACAATAGGTGCTTGGCTTAATATATTTCAGGTAAATCATCTGCCTAAATTTCTCTCCTCTACAGCTGAAGTTCATTATGCATTCCTAGAAGTACTACCTCCGTCCTGTGCAAAACGGCACGATTATTTAGACAATAATTAAATATGCTAATTCGAGTATTTTTTGAGCAATAGTTTTGATGTGTATTTAATATAATGAGTTATTGATGATAACTGTGATGTTATAGATGTATTTTTTTTAATATTTCATGATCAAGTTGTTTTTAAGAGTGTTAATTGTTTCCTAAAATAGAAAATGGGAACTTTTGATTGGGACATCCAAAAAAGGAAAGTGAGAACCTTTGAATGGGACGGAGAGTGTAAATGGTTTGCACAAGGGTATGTTTGGATCCCATAAAATGATAGGGAAGAGGGGATTTGAAGAATGTTATGCCCACATGTTTGATTTTACATAGGAGATTGAATTATGATTACTTAAAATAAAAACTTCACATATATTTATATTTTAGTCTTTATTTATTAGATAAATGAATAAATTGAGTGAACAAGTGTCTTAAAAGTTTTTTGAGTTAAGCCTATCTTTTATTTTTCCCCACATTCTTCCTTCCATTTTCCCGAAGGGTGGTTGGATCCCATGAAATGCTAGGTTAAGAGAAAGTAAAATGTCAAGGATGTATTTTCATGTGTTTGGTCTTATCACCGAAAATAAAAAATAAATAATGGTTTCATTTTTTGTACACGTGTTTAGGATTATTAATCTTTATATAATAGAAGTAGATGAATAAAATCAGTTTTAACAAATATCATTGAATAAACTTGTTGACTTTGAGCAAGTGTTTAATTTTCTTTCTACAGAAATGCATTGTTCCTCTAGTTTATTTTCCTGGTATTTGCCGAGTTCCAAACAGTCGAAACAGGAAATAAAGCTAACGTAACACAGCCTTATTCCTTACATGGGCTTTAATTAATGTGGTGTTGGGTTTCAGTTTCTGATAGTCATGTCCATATGTACAAACTGTGTGCTTTTGGTATGCTTATACGACCGGGAAGGAACCTGGAAAATGTCACCTGGTCTTGCAGCAATCCTCATTATGGAACATGTCCTCCTCTTGATAAAAGCAGGATTTTCTCACCTTGTACCCGCTGTATGTTCCAATCTCTTCATGCTATAGTGCCGTTTGGAATCACTCATAAAAAGCATTTTCGGTTGAGAACAGTGCTCTTTCTACCCAAATAGTATTCCCTGCAAAAACTAAATAATAATAATTTGCATCCAATAAAATCATTTTATTTCAATAATTTGCTTTGGAAAAGTGACTTTTATTTGTTACAGAAGTCATCTCAAACAGGCTCGCACGTATTTTCCAAATGGCTTGTGTAATCTACTTATCCTTCTCTCTCATTTTCAGGAGCCAGAGTGGGTGAGGGCAAACCGTGCAAAGAATGCAAGCTATGCGCAGGATATGTGTTCCCGCCAGCTTCTGAGGAGCATTTCCAGTGAGAAAATGAACAAATGCAAATAACCCCCCCCCCCCCCCCCTCCCCCCCTCCCATATATAATACATACCCATAGTGACTGGCAAAATGAGGTTTTTTTTGTAAATCTTTTTTGAAGATGGTTTGGATACATGCAGAGTTGGTCTTCTTGTACAAATACCCGGGTTCAAATGTATTTAAGCTAAGCTTTCATTCGAACAAGAACGTTCTGAAGAAATTTTGCAGTGTTCTCATGAAGGTGTGAAGTTGTATTTCGGGTACTGAATAGTTGATGTTTCAAATCCAGTTTGAGGGTCACTATCCGGGCTTGTACGTCTATTTATCTGTCTCCATTCTCGCTTGTCCGGTTGTCCCAAATCCTTGTTTCATGTTCAATTAAATTACTCCCTTCGTCCCAATGCTTCCGCTCACATGCCTCTTTTAAACGTCACATGCTCACAGTTAAAGATTCTCGTTTCCTCGTTTCTATTTTAGGAAGTAATTAGCATTCTTAAATGAGGACTTTAAAAATAATACAACTATAATATCACAAACTATACTTGAATAATCACTTGATTATTGTTTAAATATGGACTAAAAATAATATAACTATAATATCACAAACTATACTTGAATAATCACTTGATTATTGTTTAAATATGATGGACTTGCTTCTCAAACTATACTTGAATAATCTTATTCTATTATTGTTTAAATATTTGTGCTATTTTTAATGAAAAGCCTAAGGCGGCTTGGAAATAGCAATTTTTACTGCAGCATGGAAACGATAGATTATAATGACATTCACAACTTATTAAGATGAAGCTGATGGCCTGATGACATACAAAAATTTGTAACCAATATACTTCCACAGCTAGTACTTATTGGTCTAAGCTTTTTAATGAAGAGTCGAACCCGTGCATCATCTCAACCGAACTATATATAGGCTCAGATTTGTTATAAATTTCTCAAATCTGTACTATATCCACAAATAGGCAGGATGCATCCCTACCTAGCACTTTCTAACTTTTATACTATTTAAAATATCTCTAATAATCTTAAGATTTAATATTTGGCACAAAGATTTTTAAAAGTTTCTTTTTTAAATTCAAAATCTTTTAAAGTTACACCAAGAAACTTGAGAAAATGATCAAATAAGGTTTGAATATGTACTCAATAAAGTGTTATATAAATACATCTATTTATAAAAGCAACTGGATAAGCCCTAACGACCTGTTAACAATCTCGTAATCTCGGTTTTAATGTAAATCTAACTATCTATTTGGCAGGACTAACTCAAATACAAGGCAAAAATAACGACACATAAGTTAAAATCAGGATTAGGAGGTGACCAACAGATCATTTTGACTCATATGATTGATTTTTATAAATAGATGTATTTATATGATAATTTATTGAGTACATAATTTTATGCGACAATTTCGTAATAGGTCTTATTTGACTCTTTTCCCAAGGAAATTCTGAAAGAAAGTCTAGCATTTAACATTAATTAAACAAAATATATTGTTATATCAAACATAACCAAATGAAACAATCAATTTTATCAACTTCAGCCTTTTTCTTCTAAGATTCCTCCAATTATTAAATTAATGTTACTAGAAAGCTTGCAAAAGCATTTTATCTACCGATATATTCAGTCATCTTTACATAGTGGCTAAACTTAGAAGTATGCCCGTGTTTTGTATATTTAACATTTCTTTATACTATCTTCCATATCACATTAATTGCAACATTGAAATATATACACTATTGATGTACTTTACTTTAACTACATTTTATTTATTAATGTATGTGAATTATTTTTTTTGAAAAATATTGTTAAATTTGTCTCATTACTAGGTTTTATAATCTAATTTTTATTTTATTTTTACTAATACCAAATTAAATATAATGACAGTCAAAGTTGTGTGTCAGCAAACATGAAATGTTGAAGGTTGCAACTAAAAAGAGACGGAGGAAGTACAACTTATTTACTGTTCGACCAAAAATAATATTTGAACTCTAAAAGACTACTTGACTATCCAAAAATGGCATAAAATTGCAACAATGTTCATATAGCTTGTTTGTTAAAAGTTCATACAACTCATGGGATGATATAATCTCACAAAACAAAAAAGGAATCCAAAACCATATTTAGGGACCAATAGAAATAAAGAAGGGATGTGTGCAGAAATGTTTTCATGCAACAGTCTGCCTTGTCCTCTTCTTAGCACCTGACTTTGAAACCTTGAGGCTCCGGTTAACAACACTCAATCTAGCAAGTGCTGCTTTCTTCAGGTCTGGCCTATAGTAGTTATCTCCTACCTGTCTTACCCCGTAATCACAATAAGATGAATGAGAATGGTTACAAGATTCTCTACTGGATATAACAGTAGTATCACACACCCCATAATCACAATAAGATGAATGAGAATGGTTACAAGATTCTCTACTGGATATAATAGTAGTACCACACACCCCATAATCACAATAAGATGAATGAGAAACGTTTACACTTTACATGATTCTCTACTGCATATATCATCTATACAATTAGATGAATAAGCAATTGTCACATGATCTACACAATTCGATCAGTGAGCAATTGTCACAATTATCAAACATCATCCAATTAAGCTAAATTAGCAAATAGATAATTGAGCTAGTTAGAGATGCTGAAATCGCAAGCAAAGTGATTTTAAATTTGTGCAAACAAATTCAAAGACTTGACACATGAAAGTTAGTTTTTAGTTTCATAAAAACATACGAACTAGGTTCAATCAGCTAGCATGGTTAAATGAACAAGCTAGATGAAGGAGAAGCAGCCAAAAATTACAGGCAAAATGTTAGAAGATTAAGTTAGTAGGATTAACATAAGCACCTGGTTGATAACAGCCTTTGCCATGCGGTGGAATTCCTTCTTCATGACAGACTTGTTGTGCAAATCAGCAGGTTTGTTCTGCTTCTTGGTCTTCGTTGTAGCTAGCAGCACCGTTTGGTCTTTACCAGCTTGAATGGTCACACTTTTCTTGTTTGCCAGCCCTGTTATACAATGCAATCACACCAATAGGAATATACTCATTCAAATACGATAGCATTTGATTTCAAATTCTCCAGGAAAGCGTGAAAAGTAGCCTAGATGAGAGCAGATTTACAAATCCTCACTGCCAATCCACACTATTATTATCTAATTTTTAAGCCTCGGAACATATTACTCTTCCAGAAAATTATTTGCAATGAATTGAATCACGCAATTGTACAAATTTTGGAGCTTGAGACTAACCGGTGTGCTTGTAAGAATGAAGATTGTAAAGATTGTTTGGCTCTTTGCTGAACACAACACCAGCTGTGCCATTACCGAACTCCTTGACCAAAAAACAGTTATTTTTCTTCACGATTTCCCACACCAGCTGGTCCGGTACGGTCGCCATTTCTCTAAGAATTTCAACAACAATTATCAACAACCAAAAAGGCTAAGAAACGCCCCAATTGGAGGCCTAAGATCGGTGAATTTGTGGAACTTGGCCCGGCGCCGAGGGGGGAATTATATACCCTACTGGAAATGTTACCAGTAATTTTTTAGGGTTTAGAAACTAAAGAAATTAGAACTGGGCTCCACTACAAATGTCTATCCAATGTTTACTCGGTTCTATATGTAAGCTAAAAAGAGGCCCTGTGGCCTGTATGTTAACCAATAACCAGCCCAACATTTTTTTTGGATAAAATAGAATTAAACCAATTAATTGCTATTAATGAAGTCAAAGTTCAATCATCAACAATACAACAAGGTGGATTAAAAAATATTCTGCAGGTTTTTTTTTTTGAGAAATATAGCGGCCTTCCCTCTAAGTAGCGTTTCTAGTCTAAGTAGGCAAGAGCAGAGGCGGATGGGAAGGACGCAGGTTCGACAGAGAAAACGAGCATGGCGCTCCACGACGGGGATGGTGATTCCTCGGCGGCGGCGGATGCAGGGAGCATGGAGAAATTGGCGATTCAGTACGACGGGATGGGCCTGGGGGGTTGGAGGACGAACTCTTGCTGGATGACGAGGAAGAGGCGGAACTCGACCCTGCAACAGCGAATAGGGCGGTGGATACCTTTTTCTTGGTCGGTACGATCCTCACGGACAAGGTTGTGAAGTTTCAAATCTTCCGAGATTTGATGGCGTCCGGGTAAAGTTGTACAGATTCAAGAGATTGGGGAAAAGAGGTATTTATTTACTTTTTATCATTTAATCGATATGAATCGTGTGCTGGATAATCGACGCTGATTATTTGATCAGAATCTGTTAGTGTTGAAAGCTATTAAGCAGGGAGATATGTCTCTAAGAGTGCCTCTAGATACGGCTGATTTTTGGGTACAGGTGCACAACATTCCCTATGGTTTCTCAAATTTGGGTATTGCCCGCAAAATTGGGAATCGTTTGGGAAAATTTATTTCCTGGGACGATAAACAATTTGATGAAAAATGGGAAGCCTATATGAGGGTGAGTGTGATGTTGGATGTGAGGAAACCCCTAAAAGTGGGGACAACTCTAAAAAAGGGCAAAGGGGAAGGTTACTTGGTTGACTTCAAGTATGAAAAGCTTTCTAGTTTTTATTTTGTGTGCGGAATTATAGGACATGCTGAAAAATTTTGTCCTTTACTATATTAAAAAGGGGTTAAGGCTGGTGAGAGATCTTTTGGGCCCTATCTACGGGCAGGTGGAGGGCGTCCTCGCCTTTCTGTAGTGGCTAGTGAACGAAGGAGGGGGGAGAAAAGACCAAGAGGGGGTGCAACGAAACCTTAAATAGGAAAATGAACAGGGTAAGAACCACTCAAAGGATAAGGCTCAGGCAGAGGAGGATGAAGCAAAGCTGGAGAATGCAAGAGGGCATAACAGCGGAATGGGTGAACAGAAACGGAGGTGGACTTGGGAGGCGCATGAGCATGAGCAGGAGCAAGCAGAAGAGGATGTCATGGCTCTGGATAGTGCAAAAAACGGGGAATAGGTGGGCTGGAGCACCCAGACCCGTCTAAATATGTGAATATGGAGTGCCTCAAACAGAGTGCAGTTATTTTAGATTTTAAGTGCTTTTCTCTCATTATTGTTTTTTATTTTGGACATCGTGTTTTTTGTTAGCATTTAATTTTGTTTACGTCAAGACTCTTGAACATAGGATTGATGATGAGGAGTCTAGTTTGCTAGTCAATGACTCATGTAAGTCCAATGTAGGATCAACGAATCTTGTTGATTTTACTGAGGTGACATGTTCTAAGTCTGGTTCAAGGGCGGACAGTACACAGTGAACTCCTTGTCTGGTTGTATCCGTTCATTATTATTAATATAAGCCACCTTTCTCCCAAAAAAACAAGGTGGATTGAGCAACTTTGTTCACAACTTCACACGGCCAACATTTAAAAAAAAAACTGGATAATAATTGTAAATTGTCACTATGTCTTGTTTTATAAAACAAATATTGGACTAACCTTTGTGATTGTAATTATTTCTCTCTTCTTATATAGAGATGGTTATCAGGTTATGGATGAAATAAAAATAAAAAGTAGTATCATTTTATTTATGATACTATAGTATCATTTAGAATACTATTAACGTGATTTTCTTAATAGAATTTTTATATTTTATCGAGGATACCAATTTTGTGATATTAGATGTACTTAAACAAAATAAAAAGAAATACAAATTCATCTGAATCTAGGTTTACTCAACTACGGCTCTCCTTTGTTGGGTACAAAGAGGATTTGGGTAGAATCTCTTCAATCTTAGATCAAGAATGAAACCCAACACCCCTTTATCAATGTCGAGTCCCCAAGCAAACTACTCCCTAAATAGAGTCTCATTTTATTACTCTCAATGTTTTTTTATACATCGGAAAGGAATTACTCTCAGTATAACAGGCTCCTATTGCGTTATCTTTTTAAAATGAAGTCAGAAATTAGTCAGGGACACAAAAGATCATTGATGTATGTTGCTTTTAAAACTTCGTCGGCATCTTATTCATGAAATCGAAATATTTGGAATATGTAAATATTTATATAAAATTAAAATATTCAGTAACACAATTAATTCTATTCATGTGATCCAACTCATATGTACAAAAAGTTGATATAAATGTCATTTTCCAATGTTATTCTATAGTGTTTGATTAGAAAGGTTTTTTGAAATTTAGCAGTTTCCCTTTGAGGTATAATGAACAAAATTTGACAACTCTCCAATCTAATCACATACTCCCATCTTCATCTATCATTCTTTCTTTCAGATCCAGCATCTCTGTCAGGCTTTGGCCACCAATTAGGGTGCTCGGCCAATATTGGTCCTCCGATGCAAAACAGTGGCGTATCCAGAAAAAGTTGTTTTGGGGGCACTAATATGTGACGAAGTATAAATATCAAAATACACTTCAAATTTGAATCATGCAATAACATAATATTATTAATATGGATGAAAATAAATTTATGTGCGCTAGCATTGTGCTTTTTTTTATTGACATTATTATTCGACATATAACGGCTTTAACTTTCTAAAAAATGATATGTATATTACTAATAGAGTTCCCCGGGATAAATAAGACTAGCTATGTTTTTTGGATAAAAATATAACTAGTCACCGTGTACGAGTAACTGTATAAGATTCACTATAGTGTATATCAGAGTCACAAGTCACTCGTATATGATGAGTTACTGAGGACTAGTAACTGAATATGTATTTTTTAAATTTTTTTTTTTAAATAAGTCATATTTTTGTCTTTTGAATTTAGTTTAGTAATATTAAAGAAAAAAGGCCTTTAACATTTTCAACATACAACACCACTCTCACACTATGTTATGTGTTTTTCAAATTATATCCATTATTTTTGTAGTATATTTCAATTAAATAATTGAAGAGTTAAACTTCTGATTTATAATTGTCAAATCTATTAAAAATAGTGTTATGATTTTTATAATGCAATTAATTAAGTTAATTAGAACAAAAGTGATTTAAAAAGTTCATATGGTACTCTGTAAAAAATAGCAGTCTCTTTTGTAAATTTAGAACTAAAATTAAATGAATCACTAACTAAAACAAAAGTCCTCTTCAAAACAACTAAAATAAAAGTAAATTTGTAAATTATAAACCTTCAAGATCCAAACCAAAATGGATACAAACTAGAATCTTATCAAATACTATAAATAAAAATTTAAAATTCCTATATCAAAATAGATTTCATTTATAATAATTCTCTAGACTTGACATAAAAAAGTTATGGGCTTTAATTTGAGTTGACCTTGTAATTATGATTTAAACAATGTTCACAGTTCACTATGATTAACGGGGCATTCGTTTCTTCTTATTGGGGGCAAACCATAAGTCATAACATTATAGTATTACATAGATTAATTCTAACTAAATTGATGAGTTTATTGGGGGCATGTGCCCCCATTAGTTATATAGTGCATCTGCCCCTGATGCAAAATTGTCACATATTGTTATTTAACACTAAATCATTATACTAGTTTTTTTCTTAAATTTTATAATATTACTACTTAGTATAATGTACTCATTTTATTACTACCTAGTACTGCCACTGCAATAGCAACATGTACATGTTTACCAAAATGCTTACCTGAAAGTGAACTTTATCATTATCATATTGCGCCTTTATTTATGTATAGAAACTGTGCTTGGCACCTTTAATTTGAAAATGACAGGTTTAAGTCAAAGTCGAAGACTCCCAGCCTTATGTATCTTGAGATTATTGGTTTTCGAATATGCAAAAGTTGATTGTTCAGGCATGAAATTTGAGAAAGAGCTTATGAATGCACGTACTTACCGTTGGTTAGTAGTTATCCTTTTCGATCATCCAGTAGCTTTAAATGAAGTATATTGCTAATTTATTTTGTAATAATTGGATTTACCTTAGTAAAGAAAAAGTATATTTGATTAAACTTTTAAATTTTAGTTGCATATAAGGTTATTAGTGCTTATGTCTATGTAGTAGCAGTACCATATGGACTACACACATATGCATTGCCCAACATACATGTCTCATACAATCATGTTAGTTATCTAATCCCTCTCCTCCCCATCTCCTATAGCTTTCACAAACAAAATTTTATCAAAGAGTTGTTAATTATTAATTAATTATGTTATTCTAACAATTCATACATACTAATACTATTATTATACGATCTAGTTTCCTATTATATATATCATCTTCCAATTATGAGTATAGATGTATTCATTTTTATATTTTTAAGATTTTGTAATTGATTTCGTTTTCATATTTATTGTCCATCTAAGGCCTAATGTGTTTAAAAATTTATTCAAATCATTATACTTTGATATAATAATTTTTTCACTTCAGTTATGTTGTATTATGTATTTGAGACTATACTATAGTAACTATTCATTGTGTTTTGGTAAATAAGTTTCATTTCAATAATGTTTTTGAAAAAATCTCTTACTTATATAGTTAAGTTGTATTATCATTATTAAATTAAAACTCAACAAAAAATTCTAATTATGAATTTAATCATTTATATAATTACATATATTTAGTGTTGAATGTTGATCGTGTCTAACAGTCGTTGACCGGTCTGATCCGCCGGGTTCGGATTGACCCTTGACTCGGTAATCTTTCACGAACTGGTTTTGAGAATACAAGAAAAAACAAGTGGAAATTACTCGTGTGGTTCACTTTTGTGTGCCACATATCATTTCTAATCCAACTATTTTTTCTTTTCATTTTAATCTTTTTTGTTTTCAATTATATTTTTTTATTTCACTTTTAGACTGGACTTCTGCCCACCTCCTTTGTATATCACGGTAATCACGCGAGAGACACAAAGCAAAACCCCGATTATAGTTTCTCTTCACCCTATCGGTGAAACAATTTGGGAGAGCGGCTGGGAAGCTTGGAGAGTGGCAACGACATCCAACTTTCTTCTCAATACAGGGGATTCCATCGCTAGGATTGGACGTCCATGAACCTGTTTTAGTCCGAAGATGAAGGATTATCGATCCCCAACATCTCATCTCACGTATCTTCTTCGCAAACGGATAACAGAGCATCTTCATGGCAAAATCTCAACTAGAAAGCTCTTCTTCTTCTTCTAAATAATAATTAGGTAAATCTGACCAAGCCTTGCTGAGTTCATTAGATCAAGTTTGTTACCTTTCTCTGCTTAATGTCTATTCGACTATCACATATTGTCTTTCCCTCCACCATTTTCTGTTCGTCAGATTCCTTTTAATTCTATCCATACTTTTTCGTTTGTTCACGTTTGTTCAGGTTCATGCTGATTTAGGTAATTTTTATTTTTATTTTATTTTATGCACTTACATCAAATAAGGTAAAGCAAGTTTGAACGAGCTTTGTAGAGAACGATAAATTGTTTGAACGTGCAAATTGATGTAGGTACAAACATAAGCTTTGTAGAAGAGCTTATTAGAAATGTTAAGCAATTTTGTATGTGTTGAGTTAAATTTCTGAATCTCTGTTTTTATATTATTTTTATGCACCTAAATTTTAAGCTTTAGTGATCAACTTTGTTACCTTTTTTTACAGATTCAAAAAGTTACAGAAATTTCCAGTTACCATGAAGGATTTAATAAATGAATGGAAGTTGGAAATTCTGGAATGTTTAGACTTGAAATGTTGCTTCCTATTGGCTTCCAAAAGACGTCTATGTTATTGCTTGAGGCTTTTCCCTTGAGAGGCCAACTATGATACTTTACCGGATTGACAATATTAGAGAACTATTTGGACATAAGGTGGATCTTGATCTCATAAAGAAGAACCCCATATGTCGCCTTGGTGTTGAGTAAAAGGATCCCACTATTTTAACTGCTCTTTAATTTCTTCTATGTGTTTGATGGAGTAGAGTGAGAACAGATTTAGATCCCAGTACCCATTTTTCATACAATTTTACCTCAAAAGATGTGCATACCCATTTTTCATACAATCTTACCTCAAAAGGTGTTGCACTTTAACCAATGAACGTTGCATTCATCAGATTAGCTGTGTTAATTGATCAAGTTTGATACCTTTCTCTACAAAGCAAGTTCAAACACATCCTAATTTGTTCAGGTTGTCGCTTTGTACGTGTTTTATCTTACAGCAATTGGACGATACTGATGAAAATTGTCCCTGATTTCAGGATGAAAATTAGCCTCAATTAAAATCTGTGAATACGACACTTGAGGCATTAAGTAGGTAAATCTTTGAACAATTATTTGAGCTCGGTATTTTACATGTCAACCGTGTCATATTTTTATCATAGACTTTTGAACTCACTGTGACTTCTCTCAACATTTCATTATTGGCACTAGATTCCGGGGGCAACTGGACAATGGCCCCTCCTCAGCTTCAAACGGAAATTCAGTGCTCTTCCTCACTCACCGCACCTCTAGACGAAATCAGCTCTTTTTACTTATTTGGTTGTTTTACTGGGTTCCTTGTAATGATTTATTACGGAATTGTGTCATGGTGATATTATTCTCATTGCAGGTGTACATGGGGAAAAGAAGTACATGAAGATAAAGACCATGAAGATAAAGACGATGAAAATAAGACTGAGAGTTTCGTCGAGGAGAATGGATATATATAAGAGTCCAATCTGATGTAATAGTCTAATAGATATGTAATACATTCAAATAACAGCTTGAACTATGTATTTGTTGTGATACTCTTATATGTTATTTTTTATTCCTTTTGTTTTGTAGTACATGTTGCTTATCGTTGCATTTTGTTGCATTGTATTGCATTTTGTTGCATCGTATTGCTTATTGTTATTTTTGTTGATATTGAATTTTATTGTCTATTTAGGTTTATATTTGTCTTTGCTACTTCTTTGGAATAAAAAACATATGAAGTATATAATAACTATGTGTGTGTGTTTGCAAAAAAAACTATACATGCAAACGCATAAAATGATAAATTTGAGTTTATAATTATGAGCAACAAGAAGAAACATGAAGAAACACTATTTTTTCCCCGGTTAAGGCCACACGAGGTGGGGGTGCCGGGGAACACCTCCCTAATTTATTAAAATAAAGATTTTACTACATGAGTTTGAGCATACATTTTGTGAAATAGAAAGAACAATACAAATGAAAGAAGCACGAAAAGGTGCATTAACAGTTGAATTTTTTTGAGGGGATTCCAACAGAAGCAGAAATCAATCTGTTATATTTGTTGTGGAACCTGATGGCCTACATGAAGAAACACTAAAAAAATTTAAAGGTATCAACAAAAAGAAACACAAAGAAATATTATGCTACATAAATAAAAATAAGTGGAAAGTAATAATACTAATTTATAATAATACCTTTTAACTACACCCTCCAGTCCTAAATAAAGTTCACACTTTCCTTTTTGGACCGGTCCAAAATAAAGTTCACGCTTCCATTTTAGGAAAGTTTTTTATCTGAAATACCCTTTATATCCCTACCCATTTACCCCCTTTGTTCGGCCCACCCCTGCCACTTTTATTCGCCCTATACGCTCCAATCTCTCTCTCGAACCTTCTCTCTTTGTTCTTCGTCTCTCTGAATTCCATCGCCCTCAACCGCCTCCAATCTCCTAACCTCCATCACCACCCCTCCTTCTCCTCACTTCCATCACCACCCCTCCTTCTCCTCACTTCCATCGCCGCTCGACCTTCTCCTCACTTCCATCGCCACCCCTCATAGTTCTGACATCTATCTTAACGGATCCCAAAGCATCACCCCTTGAAAACCCTAAGGCGGCCCAGCTTCCCAAACCCACACACACTACAGAGCTTAGACCCTCATAATCCGAGACTAAGTCGTGTGTAGATCCAGAAGCTGAAGCTTCACATGCAAATGCAAACAACGACTCAGTTCCGTTGAGACTATTCATAGTTCGATTTGGTTCTGAAAGCTCATCTGAAATTGATCCGAACTGGCGTTTGCGTAAGAAATACAGATCCAACCTTGTCTCTGATACATTCGATGGTTTGGAAGGCCTGGATTCAGAAGATGGAGATGAAGTGAACTCAGGACCGGGGCTGGATGATGGAGAAGAGAGTGATGACAGCTTTGGGGAAGACGGTTGCGGCGGTGGAGAAGACGACGACAACCAACACACTCCTTAAGGACAATAATCTCTGAACCCTTACTCTTTGTGTCTTTGATGTTGTATGGACTTATGATGATTGAGAGGTGCTGTGTTGGGCCAATGCATGATGATTGAACGGTTTGGCTTGTTGTGTAACTAATGATGATTTAAGGGTTGTGATTGAACTGAGATGGGTGTTGTGTGTCTGGGAATGCTATTAAGCTGGGTGTCTAAAGGCTTGCCTAGGATATGTAACCTGTGGTCATGCTTATCTGTGTTTGCCTATGCTAAAATACCCATGATGAAAATATGATCACTCTATATTGATTCTGAGGTGTGTTAGCTTAGGATGTGTAACGTGTGAGCATGATCATCTGTGTTTGCCTATCCCAAGTCACCTGTGATGAATCTGTGATGATTCTGAGGTGTGTTTGCTATGCTAAAAGACATGTGATGTAAATTGTGATTACTATGTATCCCTTTTGAGGTGTGGTTGCTTAGGATCTGTAACCAGTGATCATGTTTATATGTGTTTGCCCATTATAACTCACCTGTGAAGCAAATGTGATAAATATGTGATGATTCTGAGGTGTGTTAGCTTAGGATGTGTAACCTGTGAGCATGATTATCTGTGTTTGCCTATGCTAAGTCACTTGTGATGATTCTGAGGTGTGTTTGCTATGCTAAAAGACTTGTGGTGTAAATTGCGATTACTATGTATCCCTTTTGTGGTGTGGTTGCTTATGATATGTAACCAATGATCATGTGTATATGTGTTTGCCTATAATAACTCACCTGTGAAGCAAATGTGATAAATATGTGATGATTCCGAGGTGTGTTAGCTTAGGATGTGTAACCTGTGAGCATGATTATCTGTGATTTGCCTATAATAACACACAAGTAATGAATCTGTGATGAATGTGTGGTGTCTTTGTACACAAGTGTACATTAAAATATGCTTCCATTGCTTTTGCTTACACAAAAAATGTACACTAGCAGTGGGGGTACATTAAAAACTTGTACTCTCATGCCTTTGATTGTACATACAAAAATAGTACACCCCCCATTACTTATAAGTTTAGAGTACTTACAAAAAGGTTCAAAAAGAATACCAAGTGGGGTATTTACTTCATACTTGAAGATGTTGTTCATCTTCATGTATGAACTGAGTCCCTTGACTTGTATGTGAGGAGTTTGTTGCCATCTGTCCATCCATGAATCCTTTAGCTGTTTGATCCAAGTCACGGGAGATCTGGACATTTTTTTGTAGTAGCCCTTGCCTTTGAAACTTGTCCTTCCCCACATGTTTGAGCTTGAAATTGCTGCCTCCTCTGTGCTTTAAGATTTCTTCCATTACATATTGATAGCTCAAAAAGACTTTGTTCAGTGTTTGAGGTGTCAGCTCCTCGTATGAGACTTGCACTGCCTGTATTAAATCCAAGATATTTTTTGGGGGCTTTTGATCCTTTATGGAATCAATAGCCCTAAAGAAACTTAGGTCTAAAACATTTAAATCAGGACTATTAGGGGGTTGACATTGTAGTTGGATATTCCATCCATTCTCTGTTCCTGATTTAACAAAGTCTGCATCATGTATTTGAATATGAGGCCTGGCATTATCTTGTTGTATGATCACTTGCTTGTTTGCTGTGTGTGGCCACTTGGCTTTGATTGCTTGTCATGCCCCGGACCTACCCGAACACGTCAATAATCCGCCGTACACTACGAAGAGTCAACCGCAATCCAACACATCCATACTATACAAGGCGTCTCGAATACCGTTCACACATAGTACATCCATAAACAAGCATAATCTAAAACATTCATTTAAAACAGCGGAAGCATTCATACAAGTGTTCAAGCCAGACTTGGCATAATCAGGCATACAAGCCCCCAAAATAATTATTCAGAAAATGGTATCCATGAGCATTAGTATAAGTGTTTTTAAACAGAACGGAAGAAGCATGAACCACGTCTTCTTCCCTCGATCTTCCTGGAGCAACGAGCGATTGTAGCAACTCAACTCCTACCTGAAACTATGAGGTGGCCTCCCCCATGAAGGGGAGGTCAGTACTTGGAAGCATTTGACAAGTACAATGACAACTATACCGAGTATAATCAACGTTTTAATTTCTAAGACCCTTAAAATACGGTGATATCATAATATAAATAATAATTTATATTCCCCACTTATTATCTCTATAATAACTAAATTCATTTATTTGTCGGCTCACGGCCCTTCTTATATATTCCTTTTCATTTATCAGTTGTGCAACCCAACCCGTGGGTCTTATCATTTCTACGGGATTTGCTACCGTTGTCTGAGACCTCATAAGACTCTCGGTTCAGATTTCAACATCCCGCCCCTGGACACATACCCTTCATCCCGTAGGAAGGTAAGGCCCTTCGGGGTCCTATCTTATGTGTTACCGATGTTGGAGCCTAGTTAGGTCTCCGTTCGGATTCCACCTTAACCCGTGATCACGATGCAAGTCTCATGCTATCCAACCCCACTCTCTAGAGTCGGGAAGGGCCATGGTCCTTACTTATTCTCATAATTCAACCGGCTATCCTCAAAGACTACCGAACACGCCCATAGGCCAATCCTATACCTAAGATCAATTTATTATTCACTTTATCTTGGGTATCCCTTAAGGCCTACCCCTAGCATAACTTAAAGTTCATACATTTCTACCTCAAAGCATCTCTTAAGACTACTTAAGGCATAGCATTTCACAATCCAACCTTAGGATCAATTTTAGCAACATTTCAATATAACGCTCAACTAGTATATTAATACTAGTCCGATTAATTCCAACAAAGCCAAGTTCTCCATTCATGGTCATTTATAATATACGCAACTGATTTTCCATTGGAAATATCGTCTTTATATCAATATACAAAATATCACTTTTAATCATTCATATATCCTTATATGAAGAAAACAAGTATATTTCAACATACATTTCATCGTTAATCTCATAATCAAGTAATCATACTCATAACACATGATTATACACAATTTACCCTTAAATTTATATATCATGCTCTTTTCCTTATAGACATAGTCTTCTCATTCTTAGGCATTATTAATCATTAACAATCCATAAAAACACATTTAATTACCTTAGGTAATCTCATGAAATTAACTCACTAACTATAAGCAATATAGTCACTCATCCTCATCTTATGAAGTGCTTAACTAGATGCCTTTGCGAAGCCCTTCGATCAATCCCCGTTCTAGGCCGATTGAAACGAAAAAACTGGACAGCAGCCAAAAGCCACCCGGCTTTTGTGAAAGCCGCCCGGTGTTCGTGTTCTACAGGTTCGAGCAGCCTGTTTTTCTTGGCGGTTTCCGGCGATTTCGACTCCTATCGATTCACCAACTCTTCTAAGTTAAATATCATGACTTTATATCAATATTCTATAATTTTAAACGTGTAGAACTCAAGGTTTAATCCACCATATGATTTCTTAAAAATCATATAAGAATAAACTAGTTAATGTATACTAGTTAAGTTCTTACCTCAAATCCTAGCCTTTTCTTCTTGGATTTTCTTCCTTGTTGCTCCCTCCACACTATGGATTAGTTGAGAGAATTTCTTGGAGCTCCTTCCTCCTTGGTTGGTTCGAATAATGCAAGGGAAGGGTGGGGGAGTGCTCTACTCAACAACACCTATCAAGTGTGGGATAGAGACATGGGGTGTGGGTTTTGTGTCTTGGAGACTTCCCCCCTCAATCATCCGCACCAAACCTTATTTTCTTGTCTCCTCTCTATTATTTGGGAGTTATTTGACTAGAAGAATACCCCAAATGGGTGTAGGAAGTCCCTCTCAATTATTCCTGCTATTTCTGGCAGGTTGGGCCAAAGTAGCACTTAGGTTGTCCAAATATTTCCTCAACCTCGGTTGGCATTTTATTGGCACTACAAAAAAACTCGCGTTTTGTCACGGATTTTTGTCACGGATTACGGCCGTGTCAAAGTTGTCACAGGCTTTGTCACAGAATATTGGAATTTGTCACGAAAATAAGTTGTCACGGATAGGTCCGTGACAAAATCCGTGACAAAGTATTATCACGGCTTTTGGTCCGTGACAAATTTACTCCGACGACCGGTTTTTTACTCCGGCGAAAACTTTTTTGCTCCCGGGCATTTGTCACGGACAGATCCGTGATAAATTTCAAAAAAAGTTTGTCACGGATCCATCCGTGACAAAATCCGTGACAAATCTCAATTATTGATTTTCCAGCGGTACCTTTAATAATACAGTACAAAAAAGGGGTTGTCACGGATAAATTCGTGACAAATCCATGACAAATTTTTTTATATATCCCAACCCCATCGTCCATTACAATTGCAAGAACAACACTTATCCGTTATCAGTTCAAAAATTCGTAGATTCTAGTGATGTAGTATCGGTTTAAAGATTGAATGATGTAATCTGTCAGTTCATCATTTTTCCTGTTTATGCAGATAAGGTATGTCATTTTAACTAATTTCTTTTAATTATGTAATAAATTATTAGCTTAGTGAGGTTAGTTGTTCATCATTTATTTAAACTATTAACGTAATTTTAACGTAATTTAGTGAGGTCATGTTAATTTTCATATTATTAACAATTTAAAGGACGGAGGTAGTATTAAACTATTAACGTAATTTAGTTAAATTTAAATATAAATATTAATTAGTTAATTGAAATGAGTTTATATCACCAATGATTAGGCCGGTTTGTTTATTAGCAATTATTGTTATTAATGCATAATTTAGGATTTGTAGTGATTTTAGTTAGCTAGCTTAATTATAATTATTATAGCTTAATTAGTGACTTGTAGTGATTTAAGTTAGCTAGCTTAGGTTATTAATTATCACCAATTATTGTTTATTAGCAATTATTGTTAATGCATAATATAGGATGACATAATATTTAACAATAATATTAGTTAAATGTAAATTAATTAACTAAGTTAAAACATTGAACTTTAGTGAAATGGTTTTAGAATTTGAGTGATAATATTAGTTAGATTTAAATATTAGTTAATTGAAATGGGTTTATAACCAATGATGATTAAGTTTGTTTATTAGCAATAATTATTGTTAATGCATAATTTAGGATTTGTAGTGATTTAAGTTAGGATTCAAACTTTATTAGTTAAGTGTGAATTATATATTATTGTGAATTAATGATATTTAACGATATTAGTTAAATGGAAATTAACTAATTAATAAGTTAAATTAGTTACGGAATATTGTGAATAAATGCCATTAACGTAATAACTTTAATTAGTATTATATGTTAGTTAATTATTTAATGTGTACTATTAGATTTTCATATTTTTAGCATTGTGAATAAATGCCATTAACGTAATAATTTAGTGTGTTTGGTGCACAAATTCTAATATTGTGAATTAGTTAATAATTGAAACGATTAATGCCATTAACATATTACTATTAGTTAATTAGTAATTTTAATTGAACGTTAGTTAATTTTAGTGAACTTTAATAAAATTTAATATATTAATGTTACTTGAGTGAAATATAAAATAGTCTAAGTTCACTAAGTTCAACCGAGCTAGCTTAGGTTGTATTAATTTTAGTGAACATTATATTAGTAAATTATTAACATATTACTTATATAATATTTTCATTATAATATACAGGCATAATGTATAGACAAAACAGAAGTTGGATGTACCAAAAACATCGCGATAACTATGGAATACACAGTGAATTTCTTAATGGTGTTGAAGATTTTATTAAATTTGCACAAGAACAGAAGAATTATATGGATGTCGATTTATAGCCATATCTCCAACAATTTTCCATCTCCCGGAGCTCATGCATACCGTGGCAGCAGCCGGGCTGGCAGCCGTGGTGGCAGTCGAGGCAGCCATCGTGGCGGCAGCCGTGGCCACGGAAGGCAACCTGATCATCGCGAGGAACCTAATGATGATGATGATGATGATGATGATGATGATGATGATGATTATGATGACATTTTAATGATTTTTAAATTTTGATAGTTATTGTACGAATATTAATTATTTGTGTTATATAATGATGGTTTGATTGGTTTATTATTTATTATGATAAATATTGTTTAATGGTGATTAATGATGATTGTTTAATTATTTATTATAAACAATTATTTATTAAGATTAATGATGATTGTTTAACTATTTATTATAAACAATGTTTATTAAGATTTAATTTTCTAAAAAGCGCCTAAATTTTAATGGTTATTATTTATTAAATAAACTTTTGAAATTTTAAAATAAACATTCAAAATGCGCTGAAATTTTAATTTTTTTTTAAAAAAATAAAACTTTTGTCACGGACGGTTCCGTGACAAAATATAAATTCTGTTTATTTTAAATACCCAAAACGCTGAAAATAACGTAATTTTTTATAAAAAAAAAGTTTTGTCACGGATTAGATCCGTGACAAGTTCAAAATTTTGAATATTTTTTTTTGAAATTTTTAAAGTACCCGCCCACCTGTTTCGAAATTTTTCAAAAATTTTTCAAATTTTTTGTCACGGATATGTCCGTGACAAAATTAAAAATTTGAATTTTTGAGCTCGTTTCAAATACCCGCCCACTCTATTTCGAAAACCTTTTTTTTTAAATTTGTCACGGATATTTCCGTGACAAATAATTAATTTTTTTTGAAAAATAAAAAAATTTATTCACGGATGTGGCCGTGACAAATAAAAGGCGATGGAGTTCCGGTGAAGTGTTTTGTCACGTACGGTGGTCGTGACAAATCCGTGACAAACGCTCTCACGGATTAATGTCTGTGACAAAAACGTTATCACGCCCCTGGTGTCATGGATTTGGTCCGTGACAAAGTCCGTGACAAAAATCATTTGTCACAGATTTTTTGAACTACGGTCCATGACAAAATCCGTGACAAAGCAGGTGTTTTTTTTGTAGTGTGGGCTTCTAAAATTATTGTGGTGACCCAACTAATTATTTGGTACTCCATTCTCAATATTATGGACCCGATAAATAATTTAATTAATCATTCATTAATTAAATATATCATTCGTGTACACGAAATTATTCGCTAGAAAATTCAAATTCATACTGAATATTAAATTCAAGTACATCCGGGTGCGGTGTCACATTGCTGGCAGTAGGGTGTTGAGTATCATTTCTTTCATTACTTGCCTAGTCACACTTAATATTGGTTTGGTTTCTAAAGTCCCAACCGGCCTATTCTTGCTTGATCTCTTGGCTGTATCTTTAAATGTGAATGGAAATATCCTTATTTTCCCATCCCACTCTACCTCCCCACCGTCAGCAATCCTAGGTCTGTCAACTGCAGCTAGGAACATGATTTTGAGAATAAATTTCTTTGATTGAGCTGTTCTGTATGGGTCTTCTTCTTTGGGGAGGGTGTAAAAAGTGGCAGTTTCTTTAGACAAATAAAACCACTTTTCATTTATGTGAACACAATCATGAAAATCATGAAATGTTGGTGTTGTGTCCACTGATTGAGGAATTATTTGACTTAAGCAAAAATTTAACCTTTTCAATTTCCCTGCATCTGTTAAAAGTGGTTTGATTGCACTTGAATGTCTTCTTATTTCTTTGCTCTTGTACCACATTTGCACAATTGTTTTAGATACTTCCATTGCATATGCAAGTGGTCTCTGATTTTTTCTCTTATGGAAGGAAATCTAGGAAAGCTTTTGTATGTCAAAACTCACTCTTTTCTGCCAACATTCCCCTTCATCCTGCTTTCCACCTGTACAACATTTCCCATCTGCATGTCTTGCTTTGCTTTAGCCCATAACTTATGAACGGTTTTGGTGGAAACGTTAAACTGTGTGGCCAATTTTGTTATCACACCCCTCTGAAGTTTACCTTCAACTGCCTCAGCCAATAACCTGTCAATTATCTTGCTCCGAGTTTCAGAGGTCAACTTAGGCCATTTTTGGTGGCCTGGTTGACTGGATGCCCCACTCCCTTCTATTTCTACATCCTCAGTTAAGTCAATGATTCCTGTGAGTAATAGTGTGTTTTGTCCTGCAGGTTCAGCTTCAGATTCTTCTTCAGGAAGTGGGTCCGCATTAGGTTGGAAAGATGCATTAATGGCAAAATACTCCATTTTTTTTTCATGGCAAAGTGAACACTGCTAAAGCAAAGCCGCAAGTCCGCAACATTCAAAATATTAATATCTTGATAAACACAATAAAATCTCAAAACATGTCAAAACAATTACTCTAAACAATAGCATTGGCAGCACTGGCAATTCTAGGCCAAAGATCAGCACATTCCTTTCCAATAGGTCATGTAATGGCACTCCCTTTCATTTCTCCTTTTGGATTCACAATGACTCCAGCATTATCTTCAAAGTACATGAATACACCGTCCTTTCGGCGAAAGGGTTTGCGCTGGCGAACGATGACAGCAGGCATGACCTTCTTTCCCCTTCTTCACCGTGGCCATAACCATGTCTCCCACGCAAGCAGAAGGCAACCTGTTGAGTCTACCCTTGATTCCCTTCACTGAGATGATATACAAGTTCTTTGCTCCGGTGTTGTCAGCACAGTTCACCGTCGCAGCCACCGGCAGACCGAGCGACATCCGGAACTTGTTTCCGGCGGAACCTCCCCGTCCTCGCTTAGACATTGTGAATATTCTTCTCTACCGATCCTAACGACCGGCAAAAGACTCCATTAACGAAGGAAGAAAGTAGATGAAGATTT